GGCAGGCCGGGGCGGGGGGCTCGGGCACGACTTTATTGTGTTCTCTTCTGGGCGGCCGGCCGGACGCACTCACGGCACAGCCGGCCTCGGGCACCGCGGGCGACCCCGAGGGCGCAGGGCTGCTGCCCAGTGAGCTCCCCTTCCTTTCCCACGCACACACTCGCAACACTTCTCTCCTCGGTAACAGGTAACAGCACCCTGGGAGAAGACTCCAGCGTGCTGACGGGGGTGACGGGAACAAGGCGGGGGGGCCGTCCTACCCGAGAGGGGAGGGGGGCGCAGGAAGACTTCAAGAGAGAGAAACAGGGCCGCGGCCTGTCGCCCACCCCTCACAGGTCTCCGTGGCGCTCTGGACCCGAGTCAACCTCCTTGCCGGGGCGGGATGCACTGGCCACGTGGATCTCGACGGTGCTGGTGTCAGAACCTGGGGAGGAAAAGACAAAAGGCCTGGCTGGGGCACGTCCCAGGCCCGCGGCGCCACACCCACGACGCGGGGTGAAACTTCAGCTACGCGTCAGCCGGGGAGCGAGGGCAGCCGCGAGGCTACCGTAACTGTCGGGCAGCAGATGCCCCACAGAAAGGCAAGCCCGAAACGGGAACGCGCGGCCCCCAAGCTCGGGCCTAGTCCCCTGTTTCGTCTGCGCCCACCAGCAGGGGCCTCCGGGGCGACGGCTCGGGGAGCCAGAACCGGGAGGCGCCTGAGGGGGCCGAGGACTCCGGGGCTGGCGCCTGGCCCCTCTCCGCCACGCTCGGGGAGGGACGTCTGTGTCCCCCGAAGGTTGCCGGGTGTGCCCCAGGTCAGACCAACCATGCTTTTGTGGGTCGGGGAGAAGGGCCCTTTTTCTCCACTCTCAGTCCCCGGGGCAATTCCACTTCCTTGTGAGGACGGCGTCCTGGACACGGTCATCCTCGGAAATCCCACACGGATCCCTTCTCAGCCAAGTGGCCCCAGGGCGAAGCAGGACGCATCCAACCTCACCCCACCCCCCCACGCCGTGCCCGGGGAGCGGCCCAGAAGCCACGCCGACGGGTCCCTGCAGACCTGGGCTGGCGCGCCGCCCGCCTGCCTGGGGTGCCTGTGCAGCGGAACCCCCGAGAGAGAGACCGAAGGCCCAGTGAGGCCGGGGACGCTGCCTGCCCCAGGCGCCAGCCAGCCTGCCCTGTGCGTGTTGACCGCAGGCCCGC